CACGTATTTCCACGCCCACCTCATTATAATAAGTGCAATTCATGAATATTTAATTGCAATGAATTTCCTGCAGAATAAACCAGTTGGGGTGATTTCGCGCTAACACCTCCATTTTGCGAATTTTTTAATTTTATTTAAACTACAAAAACAAACTGTGCCAGTCTATACTGAATGCTATGAACTAAATACTGAGCTCTCTCTGGTTCTATGAATCACAAGTATTTACGTGTACTCACTTAATATGGTTTTGTATTTGCTCAGGATGAGATGTACAATACACATAAATATCTTGTACACCAGCTGACACCAAGAACTCTAAAGTGTAGTCCAATAATGGTCTGTTTACAAGGGGTAAAAGTGTCTGTAAAAACAATATCATGCATGAATAATAATCCAACAAATCATTAATGTCTAAGGCAATAACAAAATTGTAGTAAGAAATCTTATTTCCAGAAATTAAATTCAAATTTGCGAACAAAAGAATTGATGATTAAATACTGCAATGACATCATAATTACTAATATTATTTCAATATGTTTGATGACAAAAATAGCCAGTCATGCGTGATTCAAGATGTCTTCCATGTTTGTTAACAGTTGCAGATTTTACAATAAACAAGCAGGCTGTCGGCTGAGATAGCTCCACTGTTAGCAATGCACATATATTGTATCAAAGTAATTGGACTTGCTCTTTTCAACAAAGATTCAAAAATATAACTTTTGATCAAAAATATTCATCAAAATTAGATAATTGAAGAACGAAATCATCACAAAATCTGAGAGTACCTGAGGTACATATATGTATAGTATCAAAGCAATCAGACCTGTGGTTTTTAACATGAAGTCAAAAAAATCACTTTTCACAAAATAACCCACAAAAATATTCATTAAAATTAGAGAATTGAAAATATCATCATGAAATGAACAAATCTGAGAGAGGTCCACATGTAGTACCTATATATGCAATATCAAAGCAATCGGACTTATGGTTTTTAACAAGAAGTCGAAAATATCACTTTTTATCAAAAATTACAAAATATTCACTAAAATTAGGAAATTGAAGATATCATCAAAATTTGAGATTTTGATCATCCAAGGTACCTGCATATCAAATTTGAAAACATTCTGACTTGCGATTTGAAGAAGAAGTTGAAAGCTTTTAAATTAATGTTTACTTTGGAATCGAAAATTAGTCTCCTAAAAGATAGTGAATCATGCTATAACTCAATGTATTTAATACCGAAATTCTACCAATTTCGAACTATGGCATTGAGGTATGGGGACGCATATATAGAGATTAGTTAAATACTGGTTGCATGATTTAAAATCAAACACTAACAGGTATATTTGACAAACCAAATTAAAATGAGAGCAGAATGCACAAGAGTGCTGTGAAATAAATCAAAACAATATCATTTACATTTAGTTTAGAAGAAGTCTGGTACAATCAAGACGTTTGCAATGAAAGTAAATTCATTTCAGAATTCTCCCAGTGATGCAAAGATATCGATTATAAAAACTGACGCAATGCGGTAAATAATTCTAACACACTTTAGAAGACTACACTTCAGATGAAATCAAGTTTTAGATTAGCACTTATCTCCTTTCGCATTTCTAACCATGAATTTAATATCAAGCGTGATACATTGTAAAGTACCTAGACATTAACAATTTGCCGAGTAATATTTGTAAAATAGAAGACAATTTTCATTTCCTCCTTGCAACATTACAATTCCTCGTCAATGTGATCAATACACACCCAAACAAAACTTGGCAAAATTTGTATATTTCTCATTTGACAGACGCAATGCAATTATAACATAGCACATTATTGTACATATTATTATCAATATTTACTGTTGTTACTGTTTTTATTACTATTATTATTATTATTATGACCATCCTTACCACCCACCGAGACACCATCCCCTACCACTCACTCAGAATCCATCCTGTAGCACCCACCCAGACACACCATCCCGTAGCACCCCCCCCCCCCGACATCATCATTTTACATGGTCAAGATACACATTGCTGGCGATTGCATCATGGCTCTGTATTACGTAAATTGTACTTACCCTTGGTTTTTCAAGTGTTATCGGAGCAAAACGTACATTAAAACTATCAGCAAGAACCACTGCTTGCAGTATATCGTCCTGTTTTAGCAGAGTTTCAGTCGCAGCTTTCTTCTTCTTCGACATTTTCACAGCACACAGTTTTTAAAGACGACGCCCTCTGGAGAGACTAAGTATTTCACGATATAACGCTAAAGTTAGTTTCACATTCGGTATCCATCGGAATTCGGCATCACAGTATTGTATTCGATCTAGTAGACGAATCCGTTCTATTGTTGATAACGTATCAGAAATATTTAGCTCAGTCTTTATAGATAAGAAACAGTAAGTTAATCATATTAAAAGCTACTGCGCCCATTTTAGTCTGAAAGCTAAAACTTAGACATGGTCAAAATTAGGGACGGACCTTAGAGTGTCTAATCCGTTCCTTTTCAATGTTTTTTGAATTTGCCGGCACTTGTTTCCGTGCAACACTTGCACTTCGCATGAATTTTCTTAGGTGCCGAACTGACAAACGTTAAATTCGGTTGTATGATGGAAAGTTACTATGACGACAGGTGCACTGGGTCACTTAGAATTACATACTTACCATGTAAATCTAAATAAACTTGGTATCAAAGAAAAAAAACACAGTCTCTCAACTGTGAATGAGCTTAATAATAATTCAGCTAGTTGTAACCCAAATTAAGCTAAACAAATAGTAACGCCACAATGACCTCATCAATAAAATGAAAATGTATTATTCGTCTATTAAAACGATGTGGTTAGGGTGCGAGCAGAATTTACGGCAGGGGGTGAGAAAATGGGGGTAATAAATATGGGTGGCTTATGGGGGCTTTCAAATTTATGACACCTGTCAGGAGAGGACATGACATTTTAAAACAAGACATCATATAACAATATTTGTCACATAATTTCTTAGCTTTTTACTTAAAAAAAAAGAACATACCTGTAAATGTACTAGTTTAATAAATAAAACATAGACATAGTTTGACCAAAACACGATGTGATTTGATTGTAAATTTTTATGGTGGAAAAAACTAAAAAAAAAAAAAAAAGATTTAAAAAAAAAGTAAAATTGCAATCAGGTTTAAAATGCAGTTATGTTTCGCAAGTAAATTAGACCATTGGGATGTTTCCTGGGCAACAGCTTCTGTTTGGCAATTTTATTTGTACTAATAACAGTATCTGGTTTATGTTCATATTTGGATTTAACACATTTTTCTCCCATATCAGAGCTGTATGCATCAACCACTAACATCTTTGCCAAGAGCTCCAGATGACTTGCATCATACCGTGTTTAATTAAGGCTGGTGAATTGTCTCTTGAGACACCAAACAAAATTGAAGAATTTTCAGAAAAGTTCTATGTTGAAAATATAATGAGAAATATTTGTTACATTTGCTTCAGCATATAAGAACACACAATAGGACAATTCAGAAAACATAGAAACCTATAAAGCAATACCAAGATTATGACTGGTTAGACACCGTGGTCAATGGGAAATTAAATTAAATTGTTTCGGCGCGCCACTAGTGGCAGACGAAGATCGCTCTTTCTTTCGTTTAGATTATTATTATTATTATTATTATTATATTTTTTCACTTTTTTATGAGTAATTAAATAAGCAACATATTTTTTAAAATGGACATTGTTTTACATAGCAAATAGTGAATATTTTTCGCAGTGAATAGGGCTTGGTCGCAGTGAATAGGGCTTGGTCGCAGTGAATAGGGCTTGGTCGCAGTGAATAGGGCTTGGTCGCAGTGAATAGGGCTTGGTCGCAGTAACTGGTTCATTCGTTGAAAATTGAAGTTTTATGTGTATTGATTAACTGGCGCTATTCTAAGAATACCATCCATAGGAACTGTAATTTGCCCTTTAATATATATTAGAAATTATAGTACGAAACAAATGTATAACTCGGCAATAAAATAAAGAAATATATAATTATATATTAATTATTACCAATGTATTGCAACAAAACTAATAATTAAAATTGAAAAAAAATAACAAATATAAAATATTCCATCACTTCACGGGGGCGTATTTCGCGGCCAGTGTTAAAATATTTGTTGACATTCTCATAAACTGGCTTGGCATTTCCCACCACCAATTAGATATAATGTGCACATATTATAATACATACAGGTACACTGACAAATATTAAATATCAATTAGAGAATTTATTTTATAACCTGGACAAAAGAAATAAATAATGCATTTTTCCCTATCTGCATGTAACTTCACGCGGAAATCCTAATAAAATAAATTTAAAGTTCACAACTGGCGATTTTGCAATATTTTGTAGTTACATTAAAAGTCAGTTGTCCATGTCAGGAGAACAGCAGAGCTACAACAATCTGTCAGCCGTCGCTGTCCACGCCAGCGATATGATTTCACATTGCATATAAGTGAACACTAAATACAGCTGTCCTGGCCAGCAATCGGATCATCAATCTTCACGAGTGATGTATCAATCTTCATGAGTGATGTATTATCAGTCTTTATGAGTGATGTATCAATCTTTATGGGTGATGTATCAATCTTCATGAGTGATATACCAGTCTTCGTGAGTGATGTATCAATCTTCATGAGTGATGTACCAGTCTTCGTGAGTGATGTATCAGTCTTCATGAGTGATGTATCAGTCTTCTTGAGTGATGTATCAGTCTTCATGAGTGATGCGTCAGTCTTCATGAGCGATGCATCAGTCTTCATGAGTGATGTATCAGTCTTCATGAGTGATGTATCAATCTTCGTGAGTGATGTATCAGTCTTCGTGAGTGATGTATCAGTCTTCATGAGTGATGTATCAATCTTCATGAGTGATGTATCAATCTTCATGAGTGATGTACCAGTCTTCGTGAGTGATGTATCAGTCTTCATGAGTGATGTATCAGTCTTTATGGGTGATGTATCAATCTTCATGAGTGATGTATCAATCTTTACGAATGATGTATCAATCTTCATGAGTGATGTATCAGTCTTCATGAGTGATGTATCAGTCTTCATGATTGATGTATCAATCTTCATGAGTGATGTACCAATCTTCATGAGTGATGTACCAGTCTTCATGAGTGATGTATCAATCTTCATGAGTGATGTATCAATTTTCATGAGTGATGTATCAATCTTCATGAGTGATGTACCAGTCTTCATGAGTGATGTATCAATCTTTACGAATGATGTATCAATCTTCATGAGTGATGTATCAGTCTTCATGAGTGATGTATCAGTCTTCGAGAGTGATGTATCAGTCTTCATTAGTGATGTATCAGTCTTCATGATTGATGTATCAATCTTCATGAGTGATGTACCAATCTTCATGAGTGATGTACCAGTCTTCATGAGTGATGTATCCGTCTTCATGAGTGATGTATCAATCTTCATGAGTGATGTATCAATTTTCATGAGTGATGTATCAATCTTCATGAGTGATGTATCAGTCTTCGTGAGCGATGTATCAGTCTTCGTGAGTGATGTATCGGTCTTCATGAGTGATGTATCAATCTTCATGAGTGATGTATCAATTTTCATGAGTGATGTATCAATCTTCATGAGTGATGTATCAGTCTTCGTGAGCGATGTATCAGTCTTCGTGAGTGATGTATCAATCTTCATGAGTGATGTATCAATTTTCATGAGTGATGTATCAATCTTCATGAGTGATGTACCAGTCTTCGTGAGTGATGTATCAATCTTCATGAGTGATGTACCAATCTTCATGAGTGATGTACCAGTCTTCGTGAGCGATGTATCAGTCTTCGTGAGTGATGTATCGGTCTTCATGAGTGATGTATCAATCTTCATGAGTGATGTACCAATCTTCATGAGTGATGTACCAGTCTTCGTGAGTGATGTATCAATCTTCATGAGTGATGTACCAATCTTCATGAGTGATGTATCAATCTTCATGATTGCTGTATCAATCTTCATGAGTGATGTATCAATCTTCATGAGTGATGTACCAGTCTTCATGAGTGATGTACCAATCTTCATTAGTGATGTATCAGTCTTCATGAGTGATGTATCAGTCTTCATGAGTGATGTATCAATCTTCGTGAGTGATGTATCAGTCTTCGTGAGTGTTGTATCAGTCATCATGAGTGATGTATCAATCTTCATGAGTGATGTATCAATCTTCATGAGTGATGTATCAATCTTCATGTTTGCTGTATCAATCTTCATGAGTGATGTACCAATCTTCATGATTGCTGTATCAATCTTCATGAGTGATGTACCAATCTTCATGAGTGATGTATCAATCTTCATGAGTGATGTATCAGTCTTCATGAGTGATGAATCAGTCTTCGTGAGTGATGTATCAGTCTTCATGATTGATGTATCAATCTTCATTAGTGATGTACCAATCGTCATGAGTGATGTACCAG